ATGGATCAATTTGGGAAGTACTGACATCCTAACAATATTGAGTCTTCCGATCCATAAACATAGCATTTCCCTTCATTTATTTGGGTCTTCTTTAATGTCTCTTAGCAATGTTTTGTAGCTTTCATTCTACAGGTATAGCAGATGATCTGTTAAATTTACCCCTAAGTATGTCATATTTTTCATGCTATTATGTTGTTTTTAAATTCCAATTTCTGAACGTCTATTTCAGTATACAGAAATACAACTGATTGTTACACAATGACCTTGAAACTTTGCTAAATTCACTTATTAAATCTAGCAGCTATTTTGTAAATTCCTTAGAATTTCTTACATAAACAATTATATTATCCGTGAATGAAGACAATCTTCTTTCTTCCAATTTGTATTCATCTTATTTTGTTTTCATGCTTTATTACATTGGCTAGAAGCTTCACTGAAATTTTGAATAGAAATAAGAGTAGACATCCTCTCCTTGTTGCTAATCCTAAAGAGGAGGCATTCAATCTGTCACCATTAGATATAACAATTCTAAGTTTTTTGTAGATGCTCTTCACTAGGTTGTGGAAGTTCTCTTCTATTCTCAGACTGCCAAGATACACACACACACACACACACACATCTTGAATGGAAGTAGGATTTCATCAAATGCTTTTGCTGCATCATCTGGTTTTCCTTTTTTATCCTGCTGATATGGTGAGTTACAGACTGACTTTTGAATGTTAAACCAACTTAGCATTCTTGGAATAAACCCCACTTAGTCATGATGTACCTTATCATTTTGTGTGCCGTTGGACTGGATTTACTAAAAATTTGTTATGTATTGAGGCAACTATCTTCATGAGCGAGCGATATTAGTCTGTAGTTTTCATTTCTTTTTTTCTTCTTTTTTTCCTCCCCAGAGCCCCAGTGCGTACCTGTATATTTTAAGTCCTTCTAAGTCTTCTATGTGAGCTGCTGCCACAGCACGGCTACCGACAGACAAGTGGTGTGGTTCCGTGACCAGGAACTGAACTCGGGCTGCTGAACAGTAAGAGTGCTGATCTTTAAGCACTAGGCCATCAGGGCTGGCTCTAGTTTTCATTTCTCGTAAATTTTTTTTCCTGATCTTGTTATGGCGTAATGCTGGCCTTATGGAATGAGATTCCTCTCTCATCTCTTCTCTGAGAGTGTTTGTACAAACTGGTGTTATTTTTTCCTTTGTTATTTGGTAAAAGTCACCAGGGAAACCATCTGGACCTGGACTTTTCTTTGTGGGAAGGTTTATAACAATAAATTCAATTATTTCAACAGATACAGGGCTATTCAGGTTATCTATTTCTTCTTGGGAGATACTGGAGAGCTTGATATTCAAGGAATTTGTCCATTTTGGACATGTACTGGCACAAACATGTCCATAATATACCCTTAGTGTCCTTTTTCCTGTCTATAGGACCTGTAATGATATCCCTCTCTCTCATATCTCATAATGGTAATTGTGTTTTCACTATCTATCTAAACACTCTGACTAGAAGTTTCTCAATTTTCTTGCTCTCAAGAACTAGCTTTTGGTCTAACTTTTCTTAATTGTTTTTCTGTCTTCTATTTCATGAATTGCTGGTCTCATCTTTATTATTTCCTTTCTTCTGTTTACTTGTGTTTCATTTGCTTTTCATTTTCTAATTTCCTAAGGTAAAAGAATAAGTCATTGATTTGAGATGTCTTTTTCCCTTAAATATAAATGTTTAATCCTATCAATTTCTCTCTAATCAGTGCTTTAGCTGAATCCTATAAGTTCTGATATGCCATGTTTTCACTTTCAATCAGCTCAAAATATTTTCTTATATTCCTTTAGGTTTCTTCTTTGACCCATGGGTTATTGAAAAGTGTGTATTTTGTTTCCAAATATTTGGGAATTTTCTAGAGATCTTTCTGGTACTGATTTCTAATTTAATCCTCTTGTGGTCAGACCTTATTCAGTATGATTTGAATCATTTTAAATTTATTAAGACTTCTTTTATACCACAGAATATGGTCTATCTTGCAAATGTTCCCTGTGCAATGGAAAAGAATGTGCATTCTGCTGTTGGGTAGAGTGGTCTATAAAAATCAATAAAGTCTAATTAGTTGACAGTGTTGTTCAAGTTTTATACATCCTTGATGACTTTCTGTCTACTTCTTCTATCAATTATTGAAGAAGCGTTATTGAAATCTCCAAATGTACTTGTGGATTTGTCTATTCATCCTTGTAGTTCTATCAGTTCTTCCTTCATGCATTTTGAAGCTCTGTTATTAGATGCATAAATGTTTGTTATATCCTTTTGATGAACTGATCCCCTTATAATTATGAAATGTGCCTCTTTATTGCTGGTAATATTGTTTATTCTGAAATACACTTTGATATTACCCTATCCACTTAAGCTTTCTTTTAATTTATTTATTTGGTGAGGAAGATTGTCTCTGAGCTAACATCTGTTGTCAATCTTCCTCTTTTTGCTTGAAGAAGATTGTGCCTGAGCTAAAATCTGTGCCAATCTTCTTCTATTTTGTATGTGGAATGCCACTACAGCATGGCTTCATGAGCAGTACGTAGGTCCACGCCCAGGACCCGAACCTGCGAACCCTGGGTCACCAAAGTGGAGTGCACAAACTTAACCACTATGCCACCAGGCCAGCCCCTCAAGCTTTCTTTTGATTAGTATTACTATGGTATATCTATTTCCTTTCTTTTACATTTAAACTATTTGTGTCATATTTCAAGTGGTTTTCTTATTCACAGCATATAGTTGAATCTTCACTTACATTTACAGGACATTTATATTTACACAAACATTTACAAACATCTCCTCCATGGAACATGCTGCTCTGGCTGTTGAAAAGTGAAACATTTCTTACTGTTCTGTTTATCAGAGCTCTTCCTTCTCTGAACCTTTAGTAAACTTGCAATAAATTTCAGCACTTATTTTCATATTGTTTTATCTATATTAGTTCTGTTTCATGTCTTCATTCAATAGATATTTCTTGTGCAATTACTCTATACTAGTTATTAAGTAAACAAGACAGACATAGTCTCTCACAGAAATAAAAGTCTAGTAGAGAAAATAGAAACTGAACGAGGAATTACAAATGTAATGAGTGTCACAGATAAGATATGTAGAATTCTAGGGATGTTTGTATCAGGGAGAGTTACCCCAGTTGGGAGTTAAAGGAAATCTTATCTGAGAAAATTCTCACTTAAGCTGACACTTGAAAAATGAGTGAGGGTTGGGCAGGTGAAGAACAGAGGAAGTGCACATCAATAAGGAAATAGCTTGTGCAAAGGGAATAGAGCAAAAGAGAACATAGTTTAGAAAATGAAAAGACAGACTATGGGCTATAAACAGAGAAAAATGAATGAGAGGAAAGATAAAATACTATGGTGATTAAATGAAATAATGTATAAGAAATTACTTTTTCAACTATTAGACACAATTCAACTGTCCAAGACTGTGAGAGACGAAATTGAGTTGAGTTGAAATAAAAATTGAATTAGAAGAGAAGTCAGTCTGCTAAATCAGATTAAGAAAAATAAGTGATATTAATTGGTAAACTTTACTGAAAATGAAATGTAATAAATGACAAGAAATATAGTTATTGTTTTTAAACAAAGATTTCTGAACTAGCATAACCATAAACCTAGGAGGCAAAATTCAGATAAAGAAAGATAATATGAATGACAGCTGTTGTCATGAATGTCCTCTGTCAGTAATGAAATAATTATGGAGGCCTCACAGCTTTCATAGATGTAACAGCATAAACAGATCCAACCTCCAAACACAAAGCACCATCTTGCAAACACTGAGGATAGCAATGTATATTACCTGCTTGGGGATGACATCTGATTATCTTACTTGTAAGCTCCCAGAAGGCAAACATAATGTTCTTATTCATCTTTGTATTTGTAGGGCACAAATTATGTAAAAATAGTTCACTTTAAAGATTTGACTCTACCTAGTCTAGCCTATTACTGTTTGATATTCCAAGGTAAGACTATCTAACAACTAAGACCTGCTAACTGTATCCCAGAAAAAATTAAGCATATATTCTAGCTACTATTTTCTACTGTCCTGAAAAAAGACACTGCATGGAAAGCAATGAGTAAAGGCTTTCTTCACATAGGTCATTCTCATAACAACACTGAGCCCTGAGTTTTTAAGTCCAGCGAGACATTTATGTGATTCTAAGTGAATACCAAGTACAAAATGTTTACAGAATGAATGAGTAAGTGAATACATGGCTGAAGGAAGAAGGCAAAAAAGAAAGAAGGAAGACAGGGAAGGAGAAAATTATTTTATATCAAGAGATAGTGGAAGAAGTAATTAAGAAGTTACTACCCTGCCTAATAAAACAACATATTTTAACAATTCTTATATCAAACTAAGTTTTAAAATAAAATTTCTCTTTTAAACCACAATGATTATTATGAGACATTTTAGAACTGATTTAAGAAAATTTTTAAATTCAAGAAAGACTTCACATGGCAAACAAGCAAAGAGTATTATTTACATAATTCTGTTAATATGTGCATAGTATACACAATTTCATTTTAGTTACAAAATACATCTTAATTCAAGATGCAATCATTTACTTTTGCAACCTTACATGAGAGCCATTTTGAGACTTACAGTGAGCTGTGCTTAAACATTAAGAACAGTCAAAAACAATATATACTTACAGTAAGAGGGAAAAATGAAAAGATTCTAGCACTAATGTTATAAAGTTAAGTTTATACCTTAACCGAAATGCAAATCTATCACTGATTATCATAGCATCAAAAGGTCAAAAAGCACAACCAATGACTAAATAAATCACTAATTTAACGTCTTGCCTATTATGAAATTCCCCATCATTGATCTAAGTCATACACTATTATGAACTGATTTCACTGTCAATTAATTAAAAATAAGATTTATATGTAATCATGTATTTTTCATCTTCATTCATGTACTCAATTATGAAAAATAAGCCTTCATGGTAAATCTTACCTCATTGTATCTGTTGCTGGGAATTTTGATGCTGGTTTTCCGAACTTCCATATCAACCACCAAACCTTGAACTACTGGCAATGTATACTGGTAATTTCTGAAGTCCTGGGCAAAAGCAGATTGAAGTGGAATAAAGAATTCATCAATGGAAGGATATGATTTATAGTAATAAAACTAGCACAAATGGAAAGAATGTCAAAGTTTAAAGATCTTATTTGCTTAAATAATAAGCAAATGTGTAATGAAAGTCCCACTATGTGTATTCTAGCTCTCCAATTAGACTGTAACCTCTTATAAGTAGACCAAACTGTTTCATATACCCCTTATATCCAATATTAAGCAAATATGTGAATGCTTACCCTGTTTTATCACCACTTAACATTTTCTGTATTTATTTGTTAACTCCTCCCTCTGAGGTAAGCTCCAAGAGTGTTTTATTCTTCTTACATCTCAAATGCCTGGAGCATCCCAGGCACTCAACAAATTTAGGAGGGTAAAACACATACACACACACACACACCACATCCAGTGTGGCTGAGGCAAAGTGAGTGAGAGTGGTTGGAGCAGAGGTCAAAGTGAGAGCACGCAGCTAGGCTTTGTAGGGTCCTGCAGGCCACCATAAGGATCTCTGCTTTTAATCTGAAAAGGCTTTTGACCTATTTTAACAGGTCTCTCTGACTTCCTGGTAAAGAACAGATAGTAAGGGAGCAAGGATAGAAGGAAGGAGATCAAATAAACATAATAAAAATAATCCAGGCAAGAGACAGTGATAAATTGGACCAAGATGTAAACAGTTCAAAAGGTGGTGAGAAGTGGTCAGATTCTAGATATATTCTGAAGGGAAAACTGACAATGTTTGCCACTGGACTGGATGTAGAATGTGGAAAAAAGATAAGAGCCAAAGATGATGCTGAATTTTATGGCGTAAGCCACTAGAAGACTGGAACTGCCATTTACCGAGATGTGGAATATAATGTGAAAGCGAAGGCGGCAAGTCAGAAGGCGGTAGAAGAACCAAGAAAGAATGGTGTCCTAGATGCTAAGAAAAGAAAATATATAGATACTGGTAAGTGGTTGCATGGAACTTTGTGAAAATTGTCTTATGATTGTTTTATTTACTCAGGGAAATTGGGGTTAGGTTATCAGCTGAAAGGAAAGGAGAGGAGGTATCAGAAATTTGAGAAGAGATAATGTACAAATAGTCATCTAGGAGACAAGAATGTATTATGGAACAGGAAAGATTGCCAGGTAGGTCTGAGAGCTTCCTTAATGGTATTGGTCATGAATCTAAGTAAGGCAAGTGAGTACGCTACTCCTTTTGTCTTCACTCATATTCAGGCTTGAATATAATAACGAAGGAAGAATTAGATCACACAGGTATGGTCAAGTGACTTTTCTGGGGGGGCAAGGGGTGAGGAAGATTGGCCCTGAGCTAACATCCTTGCTCATCTTCCTCTAGTTTATTTGTGGGACACCTGCCACAGCATGGCTTGATAAGCAGTGAGTAGGTCCGCACCTGGGATCTGAAGTGGCAAACCCCAGGCCGCCAAAGCGGAGTGCACGAACTTAACTGCTACACACCCAGGCTGGCCCCAGCCAATCTTCCTTTTTTTGCTTGAGGAAGTTTGTCACCGAACTAACATCCATGCCAACTTTCCTCTACTTTGTATGTGAGACGCTACCACAGCACTGCTTGATGAGCAGTGTGTAGGTCTGTGCCCAGGATCCGAACCTGTGAACTTGGGGCTGCTGAAGCAGAGTGTGCAAACTTAACGACTATGCAACTGGGCCTGCCTCTCAAGAGACTTTTGATACAGGTGCAAAGGCAAATAAACGAAGAGGGGATAGTCTTTTTGACAATCATAGTGGAACATATGGATGTACAAATGGAAAAGAAAAAACTTCAAACAATACTTGACAATCATAGACAAAAATTAACTAACAATGAATCACAGACCTAAATATAAAACTATAAACTTTTTAGAAGAAAACATGGGAGAACACATCTGTGATGTGAGTTTAGTCAATAAGTTCGTAGGTGATACAAAAAACAAGCCTCATTAAAAAATTAATAAATTGGACTTTAACAAAATTAGAAAGTTTTGTTCTCTGAAAGACACTGTTAAGAGAATAAAAAGATAAACCCCAGACTAGGAGATAATATTTACAAATGATACAAATCTACCAAAGGACTAGTATTCAGAATATACGAAAAACCCTCAAAATTCAATAATAAAACAACAATCAAATTGTTTAAATAGGCAACAATCTGAACATTCTGAACATTCACTAAAATCTGAACAAAAATGTGAACATTCACTAAAGAAGATACAAAGAAGGCAAATAAGTACATGAAAAGATATTCAATATCATTCATCATAAAAAACATACAAATTAAAATCACAAAAATTAAAACCACTAAAGTCCTATTGGAATGGCAAAAAATAAAAACAAAAAAGAAGGGGGACAGCCCAGTGGTGCAGCAGTTAAGTTCGCACGTTCTGCTTCTCAGCAGCCTGGGGTTCGCTGGTTTGGATCCTGGGTGCGGACATGGCACCACTTGGCAAAAAACTAAGCTGTGGTAGGCACCCCACATATAAAGTAGAGGAAGATGGGTAGGGATGCTAGCTCAGGGCCAGTCTTCCTCAGCAAAATGAGGAGGACTGGCAGTAGTTGGCTCAGGGCTAATCTTCCTCAAAAACAAACAAAAAAAAAAAAAAAAGAAGAAAACAAATGTAGGCAAAAAGAAAAAAAAGGTGTTCTTGTACTTTACTGATGAATGCAAAATACTGCAGGCATTTTGGAAACAGTTTCACAGTTCCTTATAATGTTACACATCAATTATGGCTCAACTATCCTACTCCTAGATATTTACCCAAGAGAAATGAAAACTAATGTTCATACAAAATTTCATATATGAATGTGTATAGCAGCTTTATTCATAGTCACCCAAAACTAGAAACAACCCAAATATCCATCACCAGGTGAATGAATAAACTGTGGTTCATACAAAGAACTGAACACTTCAGCAATAAAAATGAACGAACTATTGATACTAAAGGGTACCAGAATATGCCATCCCAAAACATGCCTCTTGTTAATCACTCTTTGGCCAATCTAATTTACAGGGCCCCAGGTGAAGAACCTAAGATGAGCAGAGGAAAAAGATTTTATTTCCTCCCCAACATACATATATCACCATAGATGAATTGCAAATGCATTATAAGTAAAAGAAGCAAGATCAAAAAGGCTACATACTGTATAACTCCAATTATATGACAGTCTGAAAAAGCTAAAACTATAAAGACAGAGGATCAACAGTTACCAGACAGTAGGGGCGCACCAACAAATTTTTTGGAGTGATGGAACTGTTCTGTATCTTGATTGTGACAGTAGTAGTAAGATAATTCTATACACTTGTCAAAACTCTTAGAAATGTACTTTAAAAAAGGTAAATTTTACTGTATATAAATTAAAAGAACACTTTTTTAAAGAATGAGGAAGGTTTAACCAGGGTCTACATTTTGACAGGACACCACAAGAGAGGGCGAAAGAGACAAAGGAACTAGAATTATGTAAAAAAGTAAGCTGAATGATGACACCATGGACGCTTAAGATAGGTAAAGAGAAAAGCAACAGGAGGGGAGACATAGAAAGGTGTTGGAATCAACAGACTCTAAGTCCTGGTAAGCCAGAGACAGAGAGGGTGGTAATGAGAGCACAATTCTTCAGCAGACAATTCAACATATGTTGTATAAATAAACCGACAGGGGCCTTAAAAATCTTAGGCTTTGTTGCTAAATTATGGGATAAATACCTCCTTTTCATTCCAAAGCAGATTAAAGTCAGCAAGAAAAATTATCTTGTCAAAAACATGACTAAAGGAGTGACGTCAGTATCATGGCAGAGTGAGCTCTCCCGGTGATCTCTCCTCTCCACGGTACAACCAAAAAGACATTCATATTGCAACAGAAAACATCCACACAACACAAAAGACGTGTGAGAGACCCACACAACCTACGTCAGAAGGTGGAGAGGCTGGAGCCCCCCTCCTCGGAGGTGGAATGGAGTAAGAGAAAGTGTTGCTCCCTCCCCAAAGACTGCGATCTGGGGATTGTGTGCAGCCTCCAAGAAGGAAGGAAGGGAGGAGAGTGTGCCCCTTCTCAGCAACATCAAAGATCCCCAAGGTCCCTCGCAGCCTACAGGGAAAGCCCCTACCGAGGTGACTAGTTGTTGCAGGGCTGACCTCATCAAGCCAACACCCCAGGAGAGCAGATAGTGAGGGCAGAACGAGAAAACCCTGAGAGCACAGAGAAGAAAGTGCCCCTCCCCCAACCTGCCCAGTGCCAGCTCCAGCACCTGGGATCCTGGCAGAATGCAGAGAGCTCAGAATACACACAGCTCTTGAACCCCACCCAGTAGCAATAGGTGGTAACTGCAACCAAATGACACCACAATGCGCAAAAATAGAGCCACACCCTCTAGCAGTATCAAAAATTATATTAAATCTCCAGGCCAGAAGGAAAATGGTAAGTACCCATAAATCAATCCTGAAGACACAGAAATATATAATCTAAATGACAGAGAATTCAAAAGAGCTATCATCAAGAAACTCAATGAGTTAAAAGAAAATGTAGAGAAACAATTCAACAAGTTCAGGAGGTATTTCAAAAAAGAGATCGAAACTATAAATAAGAATGAATCAGACATACTGGAGATGAAAGACACAATGGATGAGATAAAAAAAATACGGATTCCCTGAGTGCTCAAGTGGATATCATCAAGGAGCGAATCAGCATAATTGAGGACAGACATATTGAAATGCTCCAGATAGAGAAGGAAAACTAAGACTAAAAAGAAACGAATAAAGTCTGAGAAATAGCCAACTCAATTAGGAAATGCAACATAAGAATTATAGGTATTCAAGAAGAAAGGAGAAGGAGAATGGAGCAGAAAGCTTATTAAAAGAAATAATAGCAGAGAACTTCCCAAACTTGGGGAAGGAGAAGGAAATCCACATGAAAGAGGCTAGCAGATCTCCTAAATATGTCAATGTAAAAATATGGCAAGGGATATAGTAGTGAAACTGGAAAAGTGAATGACAA